ATAATGAGCCTGCAGTACTTTCTGTTTCCTGTCTATTTACTGCTGTACTTTATGTCTCAAGTCTGTTGACTGCTGAACTTTCTGTTTCCTGTCTGTTTACTGCTGAACTTTCTGTTTCCTGTCTGTTGACTGCTGAACTTTCTGTTTCCTGTCTGTTTACTGCTGAACTTTCTGTTTCCTGTCTGTTGACTGCTGAACTTTCTGTTTCCTGTCTGTTTACTGCTGAACTTTCTGTTTCCTATCTGTTTACTGCTAAACTTTGTTTTCTGTCTGTTTACTGCTGAACTTTCTGTCTCGTATCTGTTTACTGCTGAACTTTCTGTTTCCTGTCTGTTTACTGCTGAACTTTCTGTTTCCTGTCTGTTTACTGTTGAGCTTTCTGTTTCCTGTCTGTTTACTGCTGAACTTTCTGTTTCCGGTCTGCTTACGTCGTGAAGTGTAATACACAAAAAGTTAGTTTTGTGTGTCTACATTGTTTCCCAGATTTTGATTATCGATACAAAAAGACAACGCAGCCAATACAAATCTCTAGACGAAAAAAAAAAAAAACCCGAAAGAAAGATAGAAGGAGGAGGAGGCTTGGGAAAGAATGAGCAGGAAGAAGAAGAAGAAGAAGAAGAAGAAGAAGAAGAAGAAGAAGAAGAAGAAGAAGAAGAAGAAGAAGAAGAAGAAGAAGAAGAAGAAGAAGAAGAAGAAGAAGAAGAAGAAGAAGAAGAAGAAGAAGAAGAAGAAGAAGAAGAGGAAGAAGAAGAAGTAGGAGGCGGAGGAGAAGAAAAAGAAAAAAAATATTAGAGGAGGAAGTACATTTGAACTTGTAACCTATCATTCTAGTATTAGAAATAACATTATACAAATCCAACATCTTTCCCTTTTGTGTGTTTGACCAATATACACCTTTTAACCTTCGTTTGCAGTACAAATGTCATTTATAAATTTTTTTGTCACAGAACGCCATGTCAGCACTTAAGGCATGTTCATAAGTGCTCCATCTCCTTCAATACAAAGCCACCCTGTTCTCTACCACGTCTCTTCTTCCTAGTGTCAAATTAGATCCCTGATTTCATCATTCCTTGCCGCATTTGATCATCGATTTGCGTCAGAACAGGAGCCCAGAGATCTTATATAGACAGTGTGTCCTGGTCTTCTCGCAGATTGCTGTACGCCCTATAGAATATCACTAGGGCTGTTTTTTTTCTTTTTTTTTTTAATTGTCGTTGTTGTTCTTAGCATCTCTACGTCTTTCCCAATGACAATGTTTTTGCTGTGTCACGAGGATGCATAGGACTCACAGCCCATGGGTCTCACAAGTGGGGAGTTCCTCTTGTCCCTAGAACAAGGCCTTTGAGCCGTATTCTATAAACCATATGTTGCCTATGCATCATGATCCCTCACTCGGCATGCTTTGTTTACTCCAAAGGAAAGGTAACACTAGTAATTTGAAACAAAGCAGGCTGCAGAAGCTACTGATTCAGGTGAGCAATGCTCTATCCGTCTACCTGTCAGAGCTTCCCTAGTAGACCAGCTGTCAGCCAAGGCTAAGGGCCTAGTCTACACTGTCATAACATATCAGTTTTCAGATTTCATTTCCTCTTTCTATGATAATGCTAGCAGTAGTACTGAAAACCAAAATAATGAGTAAGAAGGGGTGTTGGCACTCATCATCATCAGTCAGCAAGTCCTTCACAGAACGTCGCTCTCTCCACGGCACATGAATGTATCCCTTTCCCTAGCCAGCTTTCCAGCTGTGCTATCAATGTCAATGCATCTTCAATGACCTGTATCCATCTTCGCGGAAGTCGACCCCTGCCTTGCTTTCCACACCATTCATCCTTGTCTTTTCCAAGCCACCATGACGTTTGATGTGGCCAAAATGACGCTCTTTATGAGCCAATTCTCCTTGATGTGTAAAATGTCTATGTTTTTCCTCTTCTTGATCCACGAATATTCTTCTAATTTGTCTGTAGCATTGTAATTGAAAAGCTTCAATTTGCGTACTGTTAAATACTGTCAGAGAAAACCCTGAATATGGCTCCTGTCATGTTTGGACCCTACCGCGAACGTATACAGTAGTGCGTTGCAAGGGCATAGTCATGTGGAAAACGGGGACTCACCTTAGAACAGTCGTTCTCAACCTGCTGGTCGCGACCCTTTTTTTGTGTGGGTCGAACAACTCTTTCACAGGGATCGTCTAAGACCATCGAAACCACATATTCATCGAAGTTATGAAGGAAAATAATTATTTGGGGGTCGCAACAACACGAGGAACTGTATTCAAGGGTCGCAGCGATAGGAAGGTTGAGAACCACTGGCTTAGAAGGAAAGTAAATACATGACACTTGTTAGTCAGTATCGCATCGGGTTTATAATTGTAGGTAAAGAAGAAGTAAATTTGCCCAGAAAAACCACACCACAGCCAGGGGCTGTTGGGGTTGGTTCTGCAAAGTCCTGTAAAGGATACGCAACAAACCTTTAAGGGGACCGTTTTCCATGCCTTTAGGCGTATGGGAATTTAGGGTTAGACCTATATTTTATAGAATATTCGGTACTTGCTGGGTGATGTCGTCAGCATCACGCCGGCCACCTTTTACTTCCCATGATTACACCTAGTACGCACTCAAGGCTTGGTCCACCTGGGAGCCAAGGTCATTTTTGAAAGAAAAAAAGTCTGGTTCCGTCACGACTCGAACCCACGACCTTCCGATCAGCTTGCGAGCTTCTAGCCTCTACACCACGGCTCCCCATTTAGAATTGTAAACATATTTTAACAGACCTATCGGTCCTCGGTGTGAGATGTGTTTATCATGACGCCTGTAGCCTTTATTTCTCAAGACATTTTCTTGTGTCCATTAACTGCTGACTCAACATGAGAGCCACGGTCAGTTCTACATTTTTAAAAATCCGACTCGATGCGGACTCGAACCTAATCCCTTCGAGGAGACAGACGAGCGTCTAGCAATTATATGGTTCCCTGAATACCTAACAGGTATTACTTTAATTCGCTGTCTGTCAAAGTCTCTGTCTCGCAACATCAAGATCAAAATATATAAAACGTTGATAAGACTAGTCGTCTTATATGGCTCTGAAACTTGGAGCTCAACTACAAGAGATCAAGTCTTATTATAAATTTCCGAAAACAGATTATTACGACGAATCTTTGGACCTGCAAACAGCAGGGGATAGAGAGGGAAAAGCAGCCATGAAATTTAATAATGTTTAAATCACTATTGATCACTGGCATCACGAGAGCTAATAGACTTAGAGGGCTTAGGCATATTGAGAGAATGTCAGATGACAGAGAGGTAAACTGTATACACCAGGGAGCTTAATTGTCGTAGACCACAAGGCAGACCGAGAAGATGATGGAGAGATAATGTCCAGGCAGACCTGCAAATACTTGATGTCACCAACTGAAAAAAAAGGTCAACCGGAGAGATGAGTGGAGGCGGGGGATATCTGCAGCAATGAACCTCAAGGTCTCGGAATGCTAAAGAAAAAAAAAAGAAGAAAGTTTTAATGAGTGACATTCAACCCCACCAGAACCGCACACCGAGCGATAAACACACAAATGCAAAACATGTCACCATTAGGCTGAGGATCACCCCGACGCAGATCCCTAAACCCCGTTCAACCGTTAGGTTATATTAGGGCCCTCGACTACAGCCGGGGTTGGGCTTTAAAATAAGGGGGAAAAACGGAATCCTTTTATGTCGTATCGTTGTTCTAACTATATATATATATATAATATATATATATATATATATATATATTATATATATATATATATATATATATATAATATATATATATATGTACTACTTCTCAGACCGTATCGCCTGTTCTTATGATGTATACTTTTTTTTTGTTTTTTTACGTATCCAGAAACCATGAGTTGTAAACCCTTTGGCTCGGTACTATGGATATCGCAACCCTTCGGCCTTGATTCCATTATAGGTACCGTTAATCTGGGAGAAATGTCGCTTTTCTGCCTACCCCCGCTAGTTCTCATAACTTACTTGTTTTTTCTCTTTTCATCAAGGAACAAAGACCCGGTCTGATAACATGCTGTACCGTTGGACGACCTTCAAGATTTCCCGGGGATGTGGCAAGATCCCTGGCGATGCTGCGATGAAATCGGAGGACCTAGCTACGTGCTGCGCACAGGCAGTTCATCTTCTCACCTTTCTCACAGTTGGATGTTTTTGAGGTCATTTACTGCAGATTAGAACATTACGCCTAATGTGTTCCTCTGGAGAGCAGATGTCGTTTGGCTGTAATCTGTACATGGCTCACACCTTCTCTCGTCTTTAGATCTTGGATAAGCCACCGCGCGAACATTGGAAAGAAATATATCTGGATGTTTTTTAAACTAGTCCAGTGTTACTTTACCTTAAATACAAAAAGATATGTATATTCGCTTGAATAAGAGGGTTTAAAAAGAAAATCCACAGAAGTTATTATTTTGGGAAAATAAGTAAGATAATCAAGCAGTTTGATTTCTTTGGGAGAAATTCCAGCATTTATTATTTGTGTGGTTTTTCGAGACAGTTTAAAGTAGGCTGTATTTGTTTTCTTGAGTGGAGCGACGTTCATACCTTTGTCAGTATACACAAAGGTTTGCTACCAAATAGCCTGTTGCTGACTTGGAGCTGAAGTATGTCGAGATTGTGAATGTGCAGTCGCAAACCTTAAGCATCAGACACTGATGTCAACATTTTCATGAAACGAAAATTTTTTTTTTTTAATTTATTAAATGAGATTTAAATATATTTCAAAGCTGTTTGGAGAAATCAGAGCTGGGATTGTAGGACGGCCTAAAGAGACAAAATGATTCAAAGTTGTATTCATGAATGCACATCAAGAAGGATTCCATGTTTCCTTGGCCAGATCCCGTTGACTAACGTCTTCAGAAGATTACACTACTGGCTGACTTCAAGATAAACTTCAGCACCTTGTCTTCCAAGTCGTTTTCTCAGCAAAGATACAGTGTATCATCTGTTACCATGGCAGCCACCGGAAGTGTGATTACGTGGATAATTCTGGTTGCTATAGCAGCTATTATATTTATACCACATGAATGTGGTGGCCGGTTGGTGGTTAGACAGAAGGACCTGGTCGTGGACATAGGTCGGTCTACATATCTGACGAGAGAAGATTTGGCTATTTCCACTGTGAGAAGAGGGGAAAGCTGTCGGGTTGAGGTGGCTACTGCGGATCCGATCACTCAAAGAGTGGGACGGATAACTCCACCGGTAAGTAGTGGCATGTGTTGAGTTTTTGACTATAGTACTGCGAAACTGTCAGTTCTAATCAGCCTGATTTCTTTTCCTTTCCAATCATGACTTTTGCTCCTAGATCGACAAGCCTTAAATACGTAAAAGGTAAAGTCTTCAGAATGAAAGGTAGCCGGCGTGATGTTGACTTCTTCTTCTGCCTTTCTATACCCCAATGGAGCATAGGCCCTAAACCAACTCAAGCCAAGTCGCTCTATCCTTCGCTATTACACAGAGCTCTTCCCATGACACCCTATCTTTCTCCAGCTCTTTTCTCCGTGTGTTTTTTTGGCCTTCCTTTATCCCTATGCCCCAGGGGTTCCAATGCAAAGCCATTTTAGTTATGCTGTTCTCCGGTTTTCTCAATGTGTGTCCTATCCAACTCCAGCCTCTTTTCCTCCTCTCTTGGTCCATTGGAGCTTGCTTAGTTCTCTCCCAAAGCTCTACATTAGTTATTATATCATACCATTTAATTCCCTCTATTCTGCGCAGGCACAAGTTAATGAATGTCTGCAATTTATTAGTAGCTGCTTTAGTTGTTCTCCATGTTTCTGCCGATTACTGATTTGAATTTTCGCTTACGCACTGGACACTGCAGACTCAATAAACACTCATATAAATTAGGTATGAGCCAAACAGCTCTCTGCCAGTGTCTTCGTGCTGAACAGACTCCAGAACATGTCCTGCAAGACTGTCCTCTCCTGGCGGAGCTGCGGAGCGACATATGGCAACACCCAGTAGAACTGACAACTAAGCTTTGGGGAAACCTAAGAGACCCTGAAAAGACATCCCAGTTTATGACCCACAGTGGATTATGCGCATGACCAGAGATCGCTGAAGAAGAAGAAGAATTAAAAATGTCAAGTTTATCATTTCTTTTAATTTCTTGTGACTTTCACTAATTCCCCAGTGCTATGAAAGCTCCTCTTGTCGTGGTGTTGACTATATGGTAAAAATCATACCAACCGTGTGATTGTCTTTTCTGGCCTATGCCTTTTGGGCCCTGCCTCTCTGCACACAAATTATGTTACGTAGATGTTTTCCTTACTACGGTGAAGCTTCTATCGCTACGATAAAACTTGGATCATTACAGTTGAAAGCTAAAGTAGCTGCATACCCTTTACAGCAAACAAGACACAGAATCTGTTGACTGTCTGTGGTTTTACTGAGTGATTGTATTATGTTTAGTAGTCTGTCATTGCTTTCCTAAACAATCAATGCAAAGCAGACTGCTGACAAATCACCTGTAGCTGACTCAAGCCAGGGATGTTGGAACTATGAAAATGGACATGGAATATAAGTCTAGCCTCATATTTTGAATGCGACATTGGCGTGTAAAGGGACCGTTACTTTAAGACCTCAGTTAAAAGAGCGGTTTGTGAAGAAATTTGAACATTTGGTTGTCTTGTTTGGTTCCAGTTATATTAACAGTTGCTATTAATATAACATAACCCTTGATCCCCCCAGTGTTCCTTGAAGTACAGACTTTGCAATCGAATCATGTTGCTATTAACGTAACATAGCCCTTGATCCATTAGGGTCGTAGAGGTGTATTGATGGAAGCACTAGCACATAAAACCCGCCAACTTTCTCTGACTTCTGCTTGATGAATAAGTATGATAGCTTAGTCCTGTCAATTTCTTGATGTTATTTCCAAAGACTTTTTTGCCGTCTTCTTCTTCTTCGACTACCCCCCCCCCCCCCCCCCTCCCAGTGTTCCTTGAAGTACAGTCTTTGCAATCGAATCCAGTTACTATTATCCGGACATCTTACATATTTTTTTCGCCTTTTAAACATTTATCTCAGAGACCTGGGGGAAATTACTAAAAGTTCACGTAAAATAATCCCAGTCTTCACCGGGGTTTGAACCAGGGACCTCCAGCACTCGAAGCAGATGCAATGCGAGGGTGAGAATGGTGCAACTTAGAGTTACCAGAGAATCTGATCGACACTCTAAGCCCAGAGGGAAGGCAAGACGAACATGTAATCAAACTGCTAATGACACCATCGAAACTAGAACTTTTCCGCTGGCTGCTGGAGATGAGGACGCAGCGCTTATGGGGACATCCCGAGTCCGGTGATGTCGGTTCTCAGCTCAACACTTACATACGTCGTAAACGGAAATTTATTTTCACCCTAATCGCTGAACAGAAACGACAATACTTGGCATTGTATGCTAGCGAAGAATGGCATACTTAAAGCATTCGTGACACATGACCAAACCGTTATTGTTTAAACCTTGAAAATTCCCAAATCTGACATGATGTTTTAATCCTCTTTGCCATCTCGACAGCGTTTGTAGATTTGGGGAGATAGTTTTCAGTCTTGTGTCTTGACATGTTTACCCTCGCGGCACTTACCCGGGTTCCCATCTTCGTGTCTATATGGTTGACGGAGAGAGGCGTGGCTAGCACGCCCTGTGTGGCGCTGAGATACCGACTCCATGAAAAATGAAAGTCCCCCCCCCCCCCCCCACCCCGGAGGTGTGGAAGGGGTAAAAGTCAGATTATAATTGACCAGAGGGCGGAGGCTTTAGTGGACTTTGGCCTGATTCAAATCCGCAATAATAATAATAATAATAATAATAATAATAATAATAATAATACTATACGCTGAACTGCAAATAAATATACTGAAAGCTTTTTTTGTTTCTGACGGAACGCAACGGTACGAAGTACTGGCACACTTTTAAGCTATCCTCTGTTTGATTGCTGTTATATTAGGGAGTACCGTCACCCCTTTAGACACATTCTGGTGCGTACCGCTTCGTTTTTGTTCAGAGAAAGCCATTAACAAACTAATACTTTTGAAATAAAATAAATTTGCAAACGGATACTTTAAAAATTAACATCTATAGATGGCTGGGATGTGGGGTGGTGAAGGGAAGGGATGGTGTGAATTTTCTGGAAAAACGTTAGAGAGGATGAGGTTGGGAGGGGCGGGGGTGGGAGAAGGGGCGGGGGAGGGGACAGATCAGGGTTGTTGATTGTTTGTTTGTTTGTTTTAGTATCCAGAAGCCACGAGTTGTTAACCCTTAGGCTCGGTATTATGGATATCGCAACCTTTCGGCCTTGATTCCATTGTAAATACCGTAAATCTGGGAGAAATGTGGCTTCTCTGCCTACCCCCGGGAGTGAACCCGGACCACAAGGAGTTCGTCACCCGGTCACTGCGCAATCTGGTTTAGCCAACTACGCTAGAGAGCCGGGCTTATCTGTGGTTAAGCGCCTTCCATTGTGGGGTCTCAAGTTATCGCTTCATTTAATCTATCATCTGCCCGGTTCTCTAGCGTAGTTGGCTAAACCGGACAGCGCGGTGACCGGGTGACGATGATAACTTTATTACTAAGATTGTCCAGACTTTTAAACCCATTTGAATCCGGCAAATTGGTATCATAGTTATCCTTGTGGTCCGGGTTCACTCCCGGGGGTAGGCAGAAAAGCCTCATTTCTCACAGATTTACGGTACCTATTATGGGATCAAGGCCGAAGGGTTGTGATATCCATTGTACCGAGCCAAAGGGTTAACAACTCATGGTTTCTGGATATTTAAAAAAAAAATTTGCATCTCTTTTTAAAAAAAAAATCTATCTTCTCTGTTGCCATACATTCATGGTTTTAGTTTAGTAGTATACACACGTAGATCGTATCGGTGTTTAGATTTTGAATTTTGACGGCGTTCATAACTTCACAGTTCTGCCACACTTGAGATCCAAGTCGAAAGCAAACGATTTGCTAGCAGATCTTGATGTGTTCGTTTCCTCGAATGCATGGAGCGTCGTACGGTTCAAAAAATACCGACAGATTACCAAACGTAAAGTTGTCTATAGTGCGTTTCAAAAGTCGTGACCTCAGACTTTAACAAATATCTCGAAAACACATGTATGGATAGATCTTTGTTTGATAAATAGTTTGCTTATCCTGACTGTAATCTGTGTATGTTTTCTTCATATAATGTAAAAGGGCAAAATAAAAACTGTGTTTTTTTTTTTACATTTAAACATATTTCTTACAAGGGGATGGTTATTAATTAACTCACTGAATGTCAAAAGTTGGGCACGACATCTGGAGCGTACTGTCGTAACTAGTCACAAGTTAGGAACCGACATCATAGCACTCGAGACATTTCCATAAGTACCCCATCCCCATCTTCAGCAGCAAGCACAGAGTTCCAGTTCTGATTTTACCGGTAACCGTCTGAGTGTATTCCGTGTCGCCTTAGCCTGAATGTTGAGCGTTGGCCAGATTCCCTTGTTCAGTGGTTCTCAACCTGTAGGTTGGGGGTCGAGCGACCCTTTCACATGGGTCGCCTAAGACTATTTAAAAACACATATTTACAAATTTTGTGAAGTAGCAACGACAATTATTTTATGGTTGTGGGATTGGGGGTGGGGTCATCACAATACGAGGAACTGTATTAAAAGGTCGCAGCATTAGTAAGGTGGAGAACTACTGCCCTAGTCACACTTCAAATCGGTGCAGGGGTCTGGGTGATTAGTTCGCATGCGTTAGCAGGTTACGATTACGCTGAGGACGGGGGTATCAAGTCATATTTTCCTACTCCTTGCTTTGCTGTGAATATGCAAAATATGCGCGTGCAGCTACTGGTGGCTTTTACGTGTTTCAATTTCTGTATGAGTGACCTAGACATGCAGAAAGCGCTCATTTTCAGTATGTGGGAGATGTATGTGTGTTTGTAATAAATAAAAAAGTAAAAAGTAAAGGACCATTTTCCATGCCTTTCATGCGCATTAGATATGTTGGGCTAGACCTATATTTTATAGACCAAAGGACACTTGGTAGGTCAGCACCACGCTCGCCGCCTTTACTTCCCAGGACTGCACCTGGTACCCACTCATGCTAGGTCAACCAGAGAGCCAATGTCATTAAAAAAATGTCCGGCCTTCATCAGGAACCGAACCCACGACCTTCCGATCTGCAGGCGAGCGTTTGACCGCTAGACCACGACGGCTCCCTTTG